TGTTTATGCATTCAGCTCACAGCTGTGCCGAGTAACGGCAGGCAACACGTCGCTGTACGCTACACACACTCACACACCCCCGTAACAAATGAAGGAAACAGCCTTATATGACAGTTTGAGCACTTGGTTGATACTCTCAATAGATGCTGTGTGAGTTTAAAAAAGGGCAGCAAGGTATTGCGGGAGCATGTGTGTTAATGAAACTTGATGTTATAAAACAAAAATAGTCTGTCAGCAGATAATTGAAAGCCAAGCGCCTGTTCAATTGAGTGTGTTAAAGTGTCATCAACAGCAATCGGAACGTCAAGCTGGGAACTATATATAAACTTACAAATACACACATTAGTGTAGTTCTGTTGCTGTGAGCAATTTTTCTTTGACACGCGTCCAGACGTATAGTCCGAATACCGGTTTGAATACTACATATAGTATGAGAAATCAAGATCAGTATGCATTAAATCAACTTACATAGACAGAAGTATGTCATTGGTGCACCTGGACTGTCTTGTCTACTCGCCTATTCTTGTTCACTCAGCTTTGAATAAATAAGCTCAGTTTTATTTCTCAGCCAGCAATACGTCACCTTAAATTGATCTTGATTGCTCCAGATTGGCAGGTTCAGGAATTTGCTTCTCGTTCCTTACAGGCTTGAGGTTTTATGTATGTAGACTACCGACTACCTCAGCTGGTTGGATATGTGAAATGCACACAGTCCCAGGCTCAGGAAAGCCTCAGCACACTTCTCACTCTCTCTCTCTCTCTCTCTCTCTCGTGCTGTCTATCCTCAGTCTATCCCGTGCCTGGACGCAGCCCGTTGTCTGAGCCGGCCCATGTCAGATGTGACACTTTAATATGGAGCACAGGCAACGCTCCAGTCTTTCTCTCTCCGAGTGTCTCTCAGAGCGAGAGAAACCACAGTGCTCGGCTTTCATTCGCTGAACCTCAGTAACCCAGAGGCGTGTTTACATTTCTAAATTAAACACCTTTTATTGAGTTCAGCTGTCGGTAGCAGTTCCAAGCGCAAGCCTTACAGCGCGAAAGCCCGTCCGTTTCCCCCTCACTGACACGCTCTGCTGCCTGTTGATATTTAAACACTGTAAAATTAAAGTTAGCAGTCATAAATACAGAGAGCAGTTTGATTATGTGTTAATTAGAGCCGTCCAGAGGGCCTTATAACAGACAGACTACCCTGTCCAAAAACGCAGACTTTTTTTTAAAAATACTAAAATGTATTTGAAATACATTTTTCATGCTAAGTATACCACAAATACATTTACATATGTATGTACTTAATAAAAATACCCTGCAATTGTACTTTTGGCATACTAAACTGGTATACTTAAATTCTGCAAAATTCGAACAACTAATTTTGTACTTAATGCACTTTAATTGTGAGGAAGTAGTGCTGATGTCCAACTGAAGTATATTTGATTGTGCTCAAGTGGAACTATTGCAAGTATACTTCAGGTACACTTCAAATAACTTGCATTTAAAGGCTGATATTATTCAGAGATCATATAATCCTCATAAATAGTGATATTAAACACATTTTAGGTTTTATATAAAAAAAATGTGCATTGTGCACAAACAAGTACTCCAAATAAAGTGTAATTAAAATTGTTATATCAGTAAGTCTCAAGCGGTATGTCAGTAAATATGTTCCTAGATTTAAACTGTACTTAGTATGAAATAAATCTATTTTAAATGTATTACTTTTTTTACTATGGAGGTCACCCAAGTATTCTAGGCTTTCAGAACACTTGAATTCTGAAAAGAAGATATTTTTAAAATGTTCTTGTACAAATCTTCTTGTACAAGACTTTTTTTATATAAAAAATGAGAAGTGTGGGCTTAGCTTGGGCTTAGCTGCTGTTTTAATCATTCTGATGAATCAGCATGAAGCAGTGGCACCTGTAAGTGGCGGTTTAACAGTTTAACCGCAATGACTGACCCAGCGTTAAACCCTTGAGTCAGATAAAGCCTGTTATTATGCTGACACACATAAACACATTACCACTCATCTGCTATACTTAAAACAATAAACAGCACAGATAGATGCAGCATAATCCACAATACTGCGAGAATCTATTAGACAGCTGTTGCTCTCTCTCTCTCTCTCTCTCTCTCTCTCTCTCTCTCTCTCTCGCTATAAAGTAAAATTTTCTGAAGGGTGTTCATGTGTTGAAGAGCTCTGGCGTGAGCATGACCCATGGCACTCGAGCACCTCCAGGGAAAAATGGTTTATACTTCATTGTTTAATTGGACTTTTGTGTAGAATAACTTGATCTGGGAAGAAGAGAGATCTCATGCTGCTCACAGCAGGTGCAGGATCAGTTTCAGCAGCATTATTATTGGACTGTATGTTAATTGTTATCCCGAGTTAAGGTCTATTTATTTGTTTCATTGTATCCATGGCAGTTATTAATGAGTCTTTTGATATTTTGGCTTTGTCTTAGTTTTCTTGTTCTTTTAATGGGTGGGTACTTGGCTGTGCTTGTTTCCAAAGAGAAAGTAGATTGAACCCCCATTCTCCCAAACAACCAACTTTTTTTTTTTTTTTACAGTAAACATAAAAAGGAAGCAAACTTACATATTTTGTATTTAATTTTTTTATTCCTTTGTGGAATTATTCCTTTTTTATTATTTGCACTGCTAATTTGAGTTAAATTTAAATTTAAATAAGAGAGAGACAGTTATAGAGCATTTGTTTAACACATAGGTAGACATGTTCCATGTGTGTGTGTGATGTGTGGACTGCAGCTCTGCAGATGTTCTCAGTTAAATCTTTTGCTATGCTGCAGCTGGCCTATAGCAACACATGATGTCATCTGTCTTCTCTCATGCTCACGTGCGACCAAGATCCACTTCAGAGAGCTTGCCTGGCCTCTGTCTGTGTGTGTTCTCTTGTTTTTGTTCCTGGCTGCTAAGCCAATTTAATCGCACGTCTTTGGTCAGCCGACCTTTAACTATTCCATCCTTCCTTTTCCTTGCTTCCTTCCTTGTTTCCTCCAGCCTGCTCTCTGTTTCCCCTGGTTTCAAGAGGTTGCCCACTGGGGACAGTCCAGTGACATGTGTTCTCTCGCCTACACGGTTCCTCTCTCTCACTTCCACCTTTTCAGGCAGTCTAAATAATAGCTGGCAGCGTGCGGCAGGGCTCATCTGCACCCTCGGGCAGTGTTCTGGGATCAGTGAGCCCTCTAGTGGTCGCGGCGCTCATTACACCGAGCCAGACGTGGGATTTCTGCAGCGCAGTCGGCACGTGCAAACTCTACTCAGCATCCGGCACGTTATGCTGAGTGGGATTATCATTACAATCGCATTCTGCGCTCTCAGAGCCCTGCAGATGGGATGGGGCGTGCCGTAGACCACTGACGTGTTATTTCAAAAGGGGGCGGGTGTGATGACGGTGGGCTACAAAGACATGGCCGCAGCTGACATCATGCTACATTTGCTTACTCTACCTGCAGAGAGCATCCATCATGCATGCCTCTGGGGCTGGAGTCTGTCGCTTTCTTTTATATTCTCCCCCTCTCCCTCCTGCCATTTTTTTTAAAGCGCCGACAAGGGGAAGCGATTGATGGAGGTCACATTTCAGTCCCCCTTATCTTTTAATAGCCTCTCTTTGTTGTTTGGCTGCACCTGATAGGAATACAATACAGCCGATGTCTTACTTCAAAAACCCTCAGCAATCTCCTCGTCTGTCTGTCAGAGAACCTCTGGCCCAGAGATCACCGCAGTCTGGACGCTGTTATTTAAATGCATCCGGAGACTTTAAAGAGAGAGAAATAAAGTGGGAGGGATGTGAGAGGGTGTGGCACAACATGTAAAGGCCTATTCACAGAGCGTGAATTCATCACAACAGGCTTCACACAAAAATGAGAACAGAGCAATTAAATCCCAACCCCTTTATATCAGGTGTGAAAATTCACATTTTGACAAAAGCAACATTTTTAATTGTGCAAGTCCTTGTTTTCTTTTGTTTGGTGAAAAAACTTGTCAAATGCCAAATGCGAGTAAAAATTTAATTAAATGGCAGTAACTTTATTAGGAACTGAAACATCATTCCTGCAGTACATGTTTCCATATTATGGAAGAGATAAAAAAAATGTAATTTATATCAAACCATCAACTTTTGTCACCACTTTTTCTTAGCTCCTAACTTTTTTTTAGTTGAAATTAGTTAGGAACCCAGAATAGGGCTATTGGCAATGTTGGCGGGCATTTATACTATTATATACTATTCACCACAAAGAATTTGCATACCTTGACTGCATCATTCATGTGCTATTGCGTTGTTTTGATTAAAAGCTTGTCGGAGGACTTTAGGCCAAATGTCAGGACTCCAATAAGAGTCCTCTGGTGTCAGGAAGCACATCGTATTTATTTCACCTGGAGTTTTAGCCCACTAAAACCCTCCGGCTGCATCTTCTTTTCTTGGCTCTATGAGAACACACACATAGGAAATCAAATCCTTTCTGCCTTGCCAGAAAAACAGAGCCAAAGAAAACAATGTGAAGAGAGAAGTCGAGGCTGACTATGTTTGTAGCCTGGCATAGTCTAATTCCCATGGCGGCTGTTAAACAATGAGAGGCCGGGCGTAACCCAAGCTACATCTGCTCTGCTGTGAAGTATATTGGGGGCCTCAAATCAGCTGAAAGCACAGCTACTTTTATTTGGGGCATTAAAGCCAAATTTGAAGAACTTTAGTATTCTGTGCCGACTATGAATTGGTGCTTGAATGGGATTTTAGGATTAAACTTTACTTCTAAGGATTGTTTGGCAGCTGCTTTTTTTTCCCTCCCTCTATCTGGTACACTTCCCCTCCCTCTTTGTTCCCTGCTGTTTTCTATGGTTTGGGGTTTTTGGAGCTCTGTTGTGGTCTGTGTTATTCTGTGAGCCCTGTGCATGCACTGTGACTTACTCGGTATGCAAATAGAAACTAGAAACATATTCTTTGGCGTCAAGATTGAAGGGACTGTTTGGGAATTCTCACAGTTCCTTAGTAAGTTGTGTTGATCCAATATATGTAACATGATCATATCTTCTGTTCACTTTAGGTCTCAAAAGTAAATGGACTCAAACGGGCATCATCAGTCGGCACGCCTACGGCCAGTGCCAAAAAGTCGAAAGACTTCCGTCTGCCGTCCAAAACTGTGAAGTACACAGCCACCGTGACCAAGGGCCATGTCACCTACACCAAAGCAAAACGAGAACTGGTTAAGCAAGCCAAACTCAACCACAGCAAGCACGCTGCTTCTGCTGGCCTCCGTGCTTACAGCAACAACCACCACCATCATTCTCATCATCCAACCAGCAGCGGCCATGGTCGGCCCCAGCTCTCTCACTCAGGAAAAGCCCAAAGTATCAATGCAAAAACCCGCAAACAGGTGCTATTATCGAATGGGGTGCATAAGATGACTAACGGGGGCCGGCCTAATGGCAGGCTTAATGGACGCCACAGTGCCAGGGAAGAGAAGGCAGATGGCCGACAAGTGCGGCAGGGACTGCGGAACTCTAAACGCAGAAGTGATGCCATTACGATCCTTGGAGCTGGAACTGAGAGTGACGAGGTTAAAACTAAGCCACCTGTTACTGAGGTTAAGAAAGCTAAACTGCAGACTAGCCCACTGGAAACTCGCAGCAAGAAGGCCCTGGGTCAGTTCAAGTCCCCCAACGCTGTCACTATTGCACACAGTATCACTGAAATGGCCGCCTCCCCTACTCAGAAAATGGGTTCTGCCCCTCCTTCGTCACCCCCTGCTGCTCCCGCCTCCCCAGCCATGCCCCAGAACCCTGCTTCCCCTGAGCCAGCATGTCAGCGGCCCAAACGGGCCTCTGCTGGCAAACTGATGTTCATCAGACAAGCACAGCAGAGGGCCCAAACGAACCCCGCCCTCAACTGGACCACATCCACTACCTCAGCCAGCAAATCCTTCAAACCAGTAGAGCCCACACACACACCTCCACCACGGCTGGACAGAGACAGGGAGCGTGAGAGGGAACGGGAGAGAAGAAGGGCAGGGTGCACTGCTTTGGGGGAGGTGCCCGTTTTCAAGCCCACCTCCAGGGAGTTTCAGGACCCTTTGGTGTACCTCGACTCAGTTCGGGAACGGGCAGAGTCGTCTGGACTGTGCAGAGTGTTGCCTCCTCCTGACTGGAGGCCAGAGTGCAAACTCAATGATGATATGCGTTTTGTGACACAGGTCCAGCGCATCCACAAGCTGGGTCGGCGCTGGGGCCCCAATGTTCAGAAACTGGCCTGCATTAAGAAGCACCTCAAATCTCAGGGCATCTCAATGGACGAGCCACCGCTTATAGGTGAGTCCACTTAAAACTGATTACAAATGCTTTTGTTGGTATATAGCAGAGTGCCTAGAGGTCCACAGCCCTGCAGAGTTTAGTGCAAACTTTCCTAACTGTAATTTTCTAGTAACTCTGAAGACCTTGATTAGCTTGCGCCAGTATTTTTCATTAGGATTGGTGCTAAACTCTGCAGGGCTTTGACCCTTCAGGGTTGGATTTGAGGAACCCTGTTATAGGGGCTAGTGCAGTTTCTGGAGGGGTCAATGCGCTGCAGATTTTAGCTCCAACTCTAATCAAACCTACCTGAACAATCTAATCAAGATAATTATCAGGATAAATTTTAGGCTGGTGTGGGCTTCATATGGTTGACACTAAAACGGTGGCCCTGCAGGAGCACCGTTGCCCATTTCTGGTCTTGTGTAACCCACTTATCAAGTAGAACTTCAGTTCCAACTGTAGCAATTACTGTAGCGGTGTTGCCCTGTGCATGTGTAAGTATACTGTAATTACATATCAGCCTGTCAGCATTTTTCTTAAGTGAATAAAGGGGTGAGAGACCATTTGTATGTAAACTGACCAGTGAACAGCCTCATGGTCCATTCTCAACATATGTTATCAAGTCTCTTGTCTGCTAGGAGTTTGGAAACCATATGTCAAAACAATCACCCATTGCTCCAGAGCTTGTCCAGCAGAGTTACATGTCTACATGGTTTTAAAGCAGCCCTGCACCATTGCTTTACTTCAGAATCCTGTGTGCTATTTGAGGGCCCAGTCAGAATATACGGTTGAAAAAAATGTTTATTGAGCCTGTTAGAATGCTGCCGAAATGCTGCAATAATTCCTTCGAGAGTTTTAAACTGTTGGTCATTGACCTTTGTTGTGCTCTCTCTCCCTCAGTTCCTTACCGTAGCTCACGTTCTCCAGTCGTTATGTTTCATTATTTTTCAAAAGACTAATAAAGATGCCACGCCATTTCTCCGCCAACATATTTAAAGAATTAATGAGCTGTGTAATGTAATGAATTTTATTTCTGGAGCTGTCAATACTTATTTAGCAGCAGATGGTGCAGTGTGTCATAGTTGCAGTGGTTTGGTTGACTTATGTTCGCAAACGAAACATTAACTGTTAATATACTTTCCTAATGTGCAGTGTATTAAACATTCACAATCATCTCTCATTGTCGCCCCTTCAGGTGGCTGTGAAGTAGATCTGGCTCGTTTTTCCGAGCTGGTCTGCGACATGGGTGGAATGCAGCAGGTGATGGACCTGAAAAAATGGAGCCGGTTGGCCGACCTGCTTCGCATTCCCAAATCAGCACAGGACCGTCTGGCCAAGCTCCAGGAGGCCTACCTCCAGTACCTGCTCTCTTATGACCTGCTCTCTCCCGAGGAGCACCGGCAACTGGAGCAGGAGGTACTGGCAGAAAAGGAAGCTCTGGAACGCAAGCGGGGACCCCTGGAGGGTCACTTGGATAACGGCCAGCGGTCTCTGGCTCTTCCTCGTTACGAACCCAAGAACGGGCTCACCGGCCTCAACCACCGCAATGGCTTCCGCAATCACAACAAAGAGCCAGACACCCAGCGGCAGGCCGGTCGCCGCAGACTGTTTGCTCAGGAAAAGAAAGGGGAAAAAGTGGACAGTGATGAGGCAGATGAGGAGGCAGACGATGGTGTTCTCAGTGACCAGCACAAATGTATATACAAGGTAACGCACCTCCTGCTTTAATAATGGCATTCCTAAATCGTATCGGCAAGCTAACGCTATTGTGTTTCCTTTCTGAATTGGCAGTATTATATGTCAAACTTGTTTCATTCACTGTATTCACCCAGTCAGACTGGCAGATGTGCCATTTCCTCAGGTAATGAAGTGTTTAGAGAGAGCATAGAGGGCTCACCGCTGAGCTTCCAGAGAACGTGCCAGAATATCAAGCGTGATGACTATGTCTGTATGCTGAACGCAGAGCCACACTGCTGGAGAAGAATGGAGGAAAGCTTAATATGTGATGCGTTTTGGGTTTTAATGCTGCCGAGGTTGGCTCTACAGTGGTTGAAGGATGTGTCTCTATGCTGTGCTCTGCGTCACAGGTCTGAGCTTCATTTCAGAGCTACGATTTGCTAAGCTGCCAGTATGAGTGTCTATTTTGTTCCTCAGACAGATTTAAAGGTACAAAACGGCGTAGATCTGTTACGAACTCTAGCGAGCTGCCTGCCTAGGCAGTATTTTAGACATCATAGGCGTGCTCCCGACTTGAAGCTAAATTATAGTGCTTTGAGATCTCATTTTGGCCAAAATTAGTCTCTGCATTATATGCATGTTTTTTTCTTCTGCACAGAGACTTTTCATTTTATACATTTTGTTTTAAAACAACATTTATGCATGCTATGTTTATTAGAGTGTCAAGTTATTAACTTAGAATGCTAGCATGAGGCTGCTTTTAGAAATTAAAATATTTTTTTGTGCATGTGGTTCAGGTGAAGAGCACTTTTCGCACAGCCTGTCTGCTGCCCATGAACAGCGTTTTAATTCAGACATTGGAAGGTTTCGTTTTGGTTTGCATGCTGTAGTAGAAAGTAGATTACCAATGTAAAAAGCGAGGCAGAGATATAGGGCAGAGTTTGTGTGGTTCTTGTGTTTGAGAGAGGACCAGTGGTAAAGGAAAGAGAGAACTGTAACTGGGTGGGTGGGTAGCGGTGAGAGTGGCTGTTGCGTGAGAGGGCTTGTTCCCAGGCCCTCAGCTCCTGGTGTACGTGAGGCTGAGTTCTTAGCTATAGTCTATGTAAGGTGACTCCGTCTACCGCACCAGCCCTATAAAAATACCCTGCTGAGTCTTATAGCACCCCGTCTGTCTGTCTGTGTGTTGTTGTCTGAGGTAACACTCTCTGCTGGGCGGGACGGTGAGAGTGGGCCTCTTCACAGAATGGTTTCTGAATATAGGTCACAGCTCAGCTCCTCACACACACACTGCACTTTGTTCATCTCCAGTGCGGTACCTGGCAATAGTCTTTGTCTATAGTTATCAGTGCTGTCATGCGGTTAAGATTGTGAGTGTTTCTCAGTTGTGCCGTGGTGCTTAAGAAGAGTTTGAGATAGACAGCTTGTGGAACAATGAATGGGAAAAACTAAAACACTTAACTTGATAGTTGTTCATGGGATGGAAAGGATGTAGCTAGTCTTTAAAATAAAAGATGACAAAAAGCATGTCTATTACCTCAGGTTTTATCCTTAATTTAAGCAGAAGAAGCCATATTTAACAGAACTTAATGGTAATTTGACAGATTCTAAGCTTGTTTTTGAGGAGCCAATTCCAAGATGGCCGCCAAACTAACAGCTTATTCCACAGATTATTTTGCCATTGTTCTTACTGTTTATTGTTTTTTTTTTTCCAGGGGAGATCAGTATCTTTGACCACCTTTTACAGAATAGCAAGAAATACAATGATGATGTGCTTCAACAAAGAGCCTGGGGCTGCTGAAGTTGAGGTACACACAAACCACTTCTTGTATTTTAACCAGATGTAATTGTGTACGGTGTAGTATGTTACTATACTGTTGGTGTGAAATGTCGACCCTAGTGAGCAGTATCAATGCTAAAAAAAAAAGTATAATAATATCTGCTCAGTGACAAATTGTCTTTAAATAGCATGTACTTTCCATGTTGCATATTTTATAAGCATATCCCATGACAGTTGTATCCTTGTATCCTGTCATATTTCCTCATTTCCTGCCATTTCTCTTCATCTCCATCTGTCCTGCTTTTCTTTATATAGCAAGATTATTGGCGGATAGTGGAGCAGAGGGACTGCCACGTAGCAGTGCATTATGGGAAAGTGGACACAAACACACATGGAAGTGGCTTCCCTGTGGGCAAGTCCGAACCCTTTTCCAAGTAAGAGCTGCTTTCGTTTGAGATGAATCAAAGGCATGCTGGGAAGATGTATTAGTGCTTATAAAAATGTTTTTCTCTCTGTCGCTGGAGGCATGGATGGAACCTCACTGTCCTTCCCAATAACTCTGGAACCATTCTGCGCCATCTTGGTGCTGTGCCTGGTGAGTCCACTATTGTTGTCAGTAGCAGGAAGGACATCATGTAAAGCTCCTTTGTTGAATAAGTCATCACCCGCTCTCTGTCTGTCTTTCTCTGGTTCTCTCTCACAGGGGTGACTGTTCCCTGGCTGAACATCGGCATGGTCTTTTCTACCTCATGCTGGTCACAAGACCAAAACCGCCTTCCATACATTGATTACTTACACACTGGTGCTGATTGCATTTGGTAAGTTTTTGTTCCGAGGTACTGTCTAGAAATGAATTAATGAATTAAAATAATTGAATTGGAACATTTGCCCCATAAACCAGCGTTGGGATATAACAACATTAGATAAATTCAAAGTATTTATTGATCGATTGATTGACTGAGAATAAAAAGTACTAATAAGAAACGAATAAAAAAAATCTAAAATAATAATTAAATGTTTATTAGACAAATTTAATTAAACTATTGATAATTTGCATTATAATGATGTATGTGTATTTATACCATTGTGTATATATTATTTTATCTTATACAGTGTGCATTATTGAAGTTACTGTTTTACATAATAAAATATATACTTTATATATTAAATAAGTGATTATATGATATTTCCATTTGCAATTTAATTTTTTTATAATTATCAGGTCCAAACACGTAACAAATGATGATTCTTTTCTTTCCATTGTACAATTTACAAATAGTTTGTTCCTTTGTGTACTATTGCGTCTTGTTCAGTGAATCTTTATTATTATTTTTTAGATACATTCAGTGTAATTTTAATATAATTTTAAAATATTCTGAATAAGTTTTTATTTTTGCATTTTAGGTTTTTGTTTTAATTTTAAAAATTTTAAAGTAATTTTGTGGTGATTTTGACTTTTATCAGTTTTAGTAAATTTAGTACTTCAACTTAAACATTTCAATTAGTTGCCTAGGCAAAATCTTTTTTTATTATTTATTTTTTTATTTACCAAAATTATTTTTAATGTGTTCACTAAATGTCATTTCGGTCTAAAATTGTACATTTTCTAACGTCTTTGCTAACTCAGCTGTGTTGTACAGATCAGCTCCTCTAGAGGGCGCATTACTCTGTAAAACAGGGGGTGTGCATTCCACTCACGCTAGCATCAGCTGTTTGTCTGTGTTTTTATGTGCATGACTCATCATAATAAAGCCAAGGCCTGTTTCCATAGCAACAAAGCTGGTTTAGGAGCCGGCAGACAGCGCTGTTGTCTTATGTCAACCAAACAATGACACTGACAGAAAGTTCTGCCCGTCCCATTACAGGTATTCTATTCCTGCTGAGGAAAAGACGAAGCTTGATAAAGTGGTGCACACACTGCTACAAGCCAACGGCACGCCGGGACTGGAAATGCTGGAGAAGAACGTTATGGTAAGATATTGTAAACAAAAATAGCATTACCTTTTTGTGCAGTTGTTTTACATTGCATGTCTCTGCATTTCTCCAGATTTCTCCAGAGGTGCTTTGTCGTGAGGGGATCAAGGTCCACCGCACGGTCCAGAAGAGCGGGCAGTTTGTGGTGGTCTTCCCTGGTGCGTTCGTGTCCAGGGTGTGCTGCGGCTACAGTGTGTCTGAAACTGTGCACTTTGCCACACCTCAGTGGATGAACCTGGGCTACGAGGCTGCTAAGGTGAGTCTTTCACATTTCCACATCCGCCTGTGTGACCTACAGACATTTACTAGGAGATGTTTAGAAGAAGCTCCACATGTTTGCTCTTCTCTTTCAGGACCTGAAATACAGGCACATAGCAAAACCCTTCTCTATGGAGAAGCTACTCTACCAGATCGCCACAGCCGAGGCCAAACGAGAAAACAGACTTGTGCTCAGTACAATCTCTTCTCTTCTCAAAGATCTCAGGTGAGCACTGGAAACCCACCCTGATGTTTGGCCCAACTGATGAAATCTTGTATTTTTTATTTTTTTTTGGGGTCGAGATCATTCTGGACCTCTGCTAGGAAGGAAATCTAAAAACCGGACCTCTTGGTCTACTAACTGGAATTGAATACCCCTGTCCTACAGGAACATAGAGATGAAGCAAAGGCAGGATCTGTATGAAGCAGGGCTGCTCTCCTCCGCACGCTACTGCACTCACGACAACAACCCGTCACCCGCTGACACCAGGAAGAAACCGCGCAAATGGCTGGCGCTGGAGTCATCCGAGAGACGCTGCCAAACGTGCCAGCATCTCTGCTACTTATCTATGGTGAGATTCAGCTCAGATTATACTGTACTGTAGATCCAGTATAGTATACACTAAACCAACAAACTAAGGCTCTGTCCTCTAAAAGTATCACAGCTAAGACAAATACTACTCCCACATTAGCCCAAAAAGCTTATCATCAACATGCTGTGATTATAATATGCACTAATTAATTTCACTAGCTAGGATAGATTGTATGCTTATTGGGACTTACTTTAGTGGTCAGTACAGTCTATACTATACTAATATTAATATTATAGTACTTTGTACAATCTATAACAGCTGGTATCTATAATAGCTGTTCTCAACCAATATAATCTAAAGTTGAAACTATTTCTTATTTAAATTTTTCCCCTTAACAGCTGTCATTTTTATTTAGGATCCAGGGTCGTCACATTATCCAGGGAATGGGGGAATTTTAAAGCTGTGATTTCAAGACCAAGAAAAGTCAAGGACATAAAATAAAAGCATAATCACAAGTGACTACAAAAGTTGTGTTCATTAGTATTAAAAAAAATAATAATAATAATTAAAACTTCTGGAATTAAGGAGTTTAATTATTTTAATATTTTGTAAAAATATTTTAAATACTTTAAATAAATTAAATTAAATAAATAATGGAATTTCTAATAATATTTTAATATTGCAATTTTATATGAATATTTTAATATGTTTCTACTCCTGATTTCGATAAATGAACAGTTTGGTAACACTTTGGATTAGGGAACACATATTCACTATTAACCAAGAGTTTTCCCTCAATAAACTCCTAATTACTGCTCATAATAAGTAATAGCAAGTAAAGGTAGTAGTTTATTTAAAGGGTCTAATATGGTCATGCAGAATAAGGCATTAATATGTGCTTTGTAGGTACTAAAAAACGGCCCTTATGCTAGTAATATGCATGCTAGTAAGCAACTAGTTAATAGTGAATAGTGTTCCCTAAACTAAAGTGTTTCCAAAAGTTAAAAAATGTGTAGCTTTGTGATTTATAGCAGAAGTTCCAGAAATGGCTTGAAGGCCCCTTTGAATGTTATCTTTGACAATGGGGGCCCTTGGAGTCCACTGACCTATACAATACTGCACTGTACTACAAATCACAATAAAGCCTACAGTATATACTGTATTGGCTAATTAAATCTATATTGCAGTGTTCTGTAATGTCCTTTGTTCTATACTGTACAACACTGGTTTTCTTTGTAGTTTTGTCTGTGTGTGTTGTATAATCAGTTGTTTTCACTGTGTTGTCGTCTTAATAGAACTGAACAGTTCTACAGTTGACTCACAGCTGTGATTTTACCTCCAGTGCTGATGATTCACATTCAGTCGTCATTGACAAAAGAAATACTGAGCGTTGAAAATGAGTTCTGATCTTAATTGAGCTGATGGCTGTTGTTAATGCTGCAGGTGGTGCAGGAGAATGAAAATGTGGTGTTCTGTCTGGAGTGTGCGCTGCACTATGTGGAGAAACACAAAAGCTGCCGCGGCCTCAAGATGATGTACCGCTATGATGAGGTAAGACACGTGATCAGAAACATGCCTGCAGGGGGAGCTGTTGAGACACTTTTGCTTAAGCGACCCTCCAGGGTTCAGCAACCCTCCTAAATGGACTGTTGCTGTTCCTTCATAAAGTATTGTGCTCTGGCAGAGCGACAAACATTCAATATATACAAATGAGTTTCTGTGGATTCAGTGTTGTATTACAGTTTTTGACATTTCTGTTTGCTCAATTCCCGAATGAGAGGGGTTCCCCCCCCCCCCCCCCCCCCCCCCACCCCCTACCCAC